TACATATATTTGTAAATACATTCCAAAAATGTAGATTAATTGTATTTTTAAAGACATATATATATATATACATATATATATATACAGTGGGGCAAAATATATTTATATACCAATTGTGCAATTCTCCCACTTAAAAAGATATGTAACTATCAAACTATAGAGACAAAGTGAGAAAAAAAATCCAGTATTTAAAGTTTAGCCACCAATTGTGCAAGTTCTCAAACCACTTAAAAGATGGGAGAGGCCTGTAACTGGCATCATAGGTAATGACCTCAACTATGATCAGACAAAGTGAGAAAAAACCAATCCAGACAATCACATTGGCTGATTTGGAAAGAATTTATTTGCAAATTATGGTGGAAAATAAGTATTTGGTCACTATCAAAAGTTCATCTCAATACTTTGTTATATATCCTTTGTTGGCAATGACAGAGGTCAAACGTTTCCTGTAAGTCTTCACAAGGTTGGCACACACTGTTGCTGGTATGTTGGCCCATTCCTCCATGCAGATCTCCTCTAGAGCAGTGCTGTTTTGGGGCTGTCGTTGGGCAACACGGACTTTCAACTCCCTCCAAAGGTTTTCTATGGGGTTGAGATCTGGAAACTGGCTAGGCCACTCCAGGACCTTGAAATGCTTCTTACGAAGCCACTCCTTCATTGCCCGGGCGGTATGTTTGGGATCATTGTCATGTTGGAAGACCCAGCCACGTTTCATCTTCAATGCCCTTGCTGATGAAAGGAGGTTTGAACTCAAAATCTCACGATACATGGCCCCATTCATTCTGTCCTGTACATGGATCAGTCGTCCTGGTCCCTTTGCGGAGAAACAGCCCCAAAGCATGATGTTGCCACCCCTATGCTTCACAGTAGGTATGGTGTTCTTTGGATGCAACTCAGCATTCTCTCTCCTCCAAACACGACGAGTTGTGTTTCTACCAAACAGTTCTATTTTGGTTTCATCTGACCATATGACATTCTCCCAATCCTCTTCTGGATCATCCAAATGCTCTCTAGCAAACTTCAGATGGGCCCGGACATGTACTGGCTTAAGCAGGGGGACACGTCTGGCACTGCAGGATCTGAGTCCCTGGCGGCGTAGTGTGTTACTGATGGTAGCCTTTGTTACGTTGGTCTCAGCTCTCTGCAGGTCATTCACTAGGTCCCCCCCCGTGTGGTCCTGGGATTTTTGCTCACCGTTCTTGTGATCATTTTGACCCCACGGGGTGAGATCTTGCGTGGAGCCCCAGATTGAGGGAGATTATCAGTGGTCTTGTATGTCTTCCATTTTCTAATTATTGCTCCCACAGTTGATTTGTTCACACCAAGCTGCTTGCCTATTGCAGATTTAGTCTTCCCAGCCTGGTGCAGGTCTATAATTTTGTTTCTGGTGTCCTTCGACAGCTCTTTGGTCTTCACCATAATGGAGTTTGGAGTGTGACTGTTTTTGAGGTTGTGGACAGGTGTCTTTGATACTGATAACAAGTTCAAACAGGTGCCATTGATTCAGGTAATAAGTGCAGGACAGAGGAGCCTCTTAAAGAAGAAGTTACAGGTCTGTGAGAGACAGAAATCTTGCTTGTTTGTAGGTGACCAAATACTTATTTTCCACCATAATTTGCAAATAAATTCTTTCCAAATCAGCCAATGTGATTGTTTGGATTGTTTTTTCTCATTTAGTCTCTCATAGTTGAGGTCTACCTATGATGCCAATTACAGGCCTCTCTCATCTTTTTAAGTGGGAGAACTTGCACAATTGGTGGCTGACTAAATACTTTTTTGCCCCACTGTATATATATTGAATACAGCAAAAAATTGTAGTATTTCAAATATATGTAAATATATTTTGTAAGAATATTTTTAAAATATATTTAAAATATATTTTTCTTCCATGTAGTATGGAATAATGGATACTATGGGTTAACATAAATTGCTTTTTGTCCTACTAAAAGCTGAACTCCAAGCAGCTATTAGGCATATTCGATTTATACTGTCATGCATATATTTAAAATCATGCAGGAGTCAATCTGGCTCTGCTGAAGTTCACGTGTTGATAGGACAAGACAAAGGTGAGAAGAGGGATGTCTTTTGTCAGTGCATTGTTGCTCCTTTATTGTATGAGCAGGATGGAGGTGTGTACTCAATGAAGCTGTGCTGTAGTGAAGGTCAAGGACCTGGCTACATTGTGGCTGAACAACCTAATAAATCCTTTGTCTGTTAAAACAGTTCTCAAATATGTATTTCAGATGTTTATTTAGCTGGCTGCCAGGTGTTTAGCTCTACAGACGAAGTCAAAATGAAAAATGTTAGATTTTTTTAAAATGCCTGCTAATAATATAGCTATGACTGTAAGTACCTCGACCTGCGCAAAAACATATTTTTGACATTTTCAGAACAAGGTTGCTCAGCCAAAGGCTCTGTGTTATTATTATTATTATAATACAGGATTATATAGCGGTGTTAACTACCCTATTTGGTCAAAGATGGCCCAAACGAGATGTCTGGAGAGGGTACTCAGTTTTTTTAAATGTAATTTTGCAATGTTATCACTTTTTTTGTACCCTATTAATGTTCAATATCTACATTTTCTGAAAATGTTACAATTATATCTGATATTAGTAGGTCATTCTTGGCATTATATCCATGGACAATCTTGTTAATGTCTATGCTGATCATGTCTTCTTTGTTTTTCCTGACCTGTATGGTCTTTTGGATTAAAATGTCCTAGGACAGTCCATTTGAGTTCTTTAATCCTTAAGATGTTGATGTTTAAATAATCCATTCCATCTTCAATATGTCTGGGTTACCTTAATTTATACTCTGCACATTTCGAGCTCCTATGATGAATCTGTTTTTAAAGGTCCGGATTTTCTTTTATCACCTGGCAACATCAGTGGCTAGACAACTAAAAGGTTTTAGATTAGTCACGTCATTCACACCAGCTGTACTTTGAAACAATCCCTAGCTCTTCTTCAGTAGTATATTCAGTACCTTCTGACCTGAGAGGCCCACCTTCTGGCACTATATCAGCATTCATTCTATTTTATCTTTCCATATAGTTTGTTTTGTAAAGTACAGAAGTGGTTCACCATTGACTTCTTCTATGCACTTTTAATTAAAGCGGAGTTCCACCCAAAAGGAGAAGTTCCGCTTTAAAGATTGGTCCCCCGCTCCCCATTAAAGATTGGCACCTTTGGGGAGCGGGGCGGGGGACGGGTACCCGAATTTTACAGGTACCCACTCCCACTTCTACTGCTATTCCCCTAGGCGATCAGAAGAGGTAGTTGTCCTCCTACCCTCCCTCCCCGAAGTCTTGTGGGACACGTGACAAGGACTATGAGGCCATTCAGGAAGCCACAAGCTGTCACAGCCAGGTGCCCACACTGAAGATGCCGGCACCTGGAATACAGGACAGCCGGTGAAACGGGCTGCGGCGGGGGAAGCACGGGATCGTGGGACAGGTGAGTGGCTGTTTTTGTAGCTGCTGACTTTTATTTTTTTAAAGAGTGAGTGGAACTCCGCTCTAATGTCTTTGCCATTGTCACCTCTGTGATCATCCAGCACTGACATTGTCCTTTACTGCTGCTGCCAAGTATAGGTGGGTGGGTTTTAGTCTGGCATCTCTGTTAAAACCCTTTTACCATAGGTGACCTTAAAGTGGTTGTAAGCCTCTAACATGAAATATGAACAAAGCATATTCCTCTATAGTGTGTACAGCCTCAACTCTGTTCCTGTGTTCTATGTGAAGGGGGTGGGTCCCTTACCTCCAATCAGCTCTCAGAGCTTCCCTCACTGAGCTCTGCAGAGTGTACCTTCTGTTCCCTGCCCCCTGCTTTTCAGAGCGAAGAGATGCTGTGTAAATTCTGCACTTTGAATGGATGTAGAGAAGACTGCAGATAAATAGGTATACCTTATGTAGGATGATGTGTTTCATCTCTGTGAATCACCTAAGACCAGTCACTGCAGTGGGTGTATGTAAGAGTTTACAACCACTCTAACTGGAGTTGAAACCCATAGCTGCTAGTGTTTCGCTTCCCTGATGCATGTAAGCCCACTCACCTCGATAGGGCACCTTACCATGAGAAGACCATAAATGTTAAATTTCCATAAACCAACTTGTAATTTATGTTCAATTCAAGAATGTCACCTTCCAGCCAAAACTTGATTATTCTTATAAGGTATTTTCCTTTCAACTATAGTTCAAACTCCTTCCTTAGCATCATAACATGGCATTCTTTTTAGTGCAGGGCAAAGAGAAATGATGATGTTTTAAGTGATCTAATTTAAAAAAGATTACCAAAATTAATCTTTTACTATTGTGACTACTGCAAACTGAGCTCAGATGCATCCTAAACTTTAAAAATCTTAATTGGAGAATCCTATTATTGTTGTGAGAACTTCTAGTAGATATAAAGATCACTGTTTAATTCAGTGTTTGTATTGATTATAATTCACATGTACACTATACAGAGTTGCCAAAAGTATTGGGACGCCTGCCTTTACATGCACATGAACTTTAGAGGCATCCCAGTCTAATGAACCATAGGGTTCAATTTTGAGTTGGCCTACCCTTTGCAGCTATAACAGCTTCAACTCTTCTAGGCAGACTGTCCACACGGTTTAGGTGTGTGTCTATGGGAATGTTTGACCATTCTTCCAGAAGGGCATTTGTGAGGTCAGGCACTGATGTTGGATGAGATGGCCTGGCTTGCAGTCTCCACTCTAATTCATCAAAAAGGTGTTCTATTGGATTGAGGTCAAGACTTTGTACAGGCCAGTCAAGTTCCTCCACCCCAAACTCGCTCATCCATGTCTTTATGGACCTTGCTTTATGCACTGGTGAGCAGTCATATTGGAACAGGAAGGGGCCATCCCCAAACTGTCCCCAGAAAGTTGGGAGCATGAAATTGTCCAAAATGTCTTGGTATGCTGATGCCTTAAGAGTTCCCTTCACCGGAACTAAGGGGCTAAGCCCAACCACTAAAAAAAATCCACCCTCGACCAAACTTTATACTTGGAACAATGCAGTCAGGCAAGTACCATTCTCCTGGCAACAGCCAAACCCAAACACGTTCATCGGATTGCCAGACAGAGAAGCATGATTGGTCACTCTAGAAAACACGTTTCCACTGCTCTAGAGTCCAGTAGCAGCATCTGACACTTTGCATTGCACTTGGTGATGTAAGGCTTGGATGCAGCTGCTCAGCCATGGAAACCCATTCCATGAAGCTCTCTACGCTCTGTTGTTGTGCTAATCTGAAGGCCACATGAAGTTTGGAGGATTTAGCTATTGATTCTCTAGACAGCTGGCAACGTCTGCGCACAGTGTGCTGCAGCATCCGCTGACCCCGCTATGTCATTTTACATGGCCTACCACTTCGTGGCTGGGTTGCTGTAGTTCCCAGTTGCTTTCACTTTGTTATAATATCATTAACAGTTGACCACGGATTAATTAGTAGCAAGGACATTTCAGAGATGGACTTATTGCACAGGTAGCTACTTATCACAGTACCACACTTGAATTCACTGAGCTCCTGAGAGTGACCCATTCTTTCACAAATGTTTGTAGAAGCAGTCTTCATGCCTAGATGCTTGATTTTATACATCTGTGTTCATGGAGGTGATTGTATCACCTGAATCTAGTGATTTGGAGGGCTGGCCCAATACTTTTGGCAATATAATGTATATAAAAATACTGATAGCATAAGAGCATAAACTGTTTTCGTATTAGCTTCTGGTGTTCTGTTGTACACTATGCCTGATAGGAAGAAACTCATCATTGTAAGCCAATCAGACATTACTGTGCTGTGCTGTCAGTCTAATGTTGGATTCTTGTTGACCAGGCTATGCTGACTTTTGTTACTCTTACTGACCACTGATGTAGGGACATTTCTACTTCCATTGGCACAGAGGTTTATTTTACTACAGCTGTTCACCAGCACAGGAAAAATTTTCTACCTTTGCTGATACAGCAGTATTTGTACTCCTGCTGAGCACCAATGCAGTCATTTTTTACTCCTACTGACCGCTGATGCAGAAGCATTTTTACTGTCACTGACCACTGAGTCATGGACATTAATTCCTTTTACTGATCACTGCTGTAGAGGTCATTTTTAATCCCACTAACCAATAACAAAGGCATTTTTTATTCCCACAGACCACTGAGGCAATAACATTTATTACATCTACTGGCCACCACTGCAGGAGTATTTTTGCTCTCTCTGACCACTGATGTATGGTAATTTATTATTTCTACTGACCACAGTCACAGTGGCATTTTTTAATCCCTTTGACCACAGATGCAGGTACTATTTGTACTCCCACAAACCTCCAATACCTGGGCATTTTTTTAACACCTACTGAAAAAAAAAAAAAAACCTCAAGACAAATTCACATCACCTACCCTGTCAAAAATGTATAATTAATTCAAACATTGTCATGATATTATAAATCTCATTTAATTTTTACATGTTCAGCTTGTAAACACATCTTTGGCTCCAAGAGGTCTAGTACAGAAGTACTTGTCAAAATGTACCCGTCCTTTGAAAAGTGATTGACATAGAAAAATGATCCTTCTTCTGCAGAATCTTGTGCTTACACTCCTTCCATCACAATGTATAGACAGGATTAATAGCCATGGATTAAATTTACATAGAGAGAATAATCATTAGCTTCTCTGTGCTCTAGCTTCTATTTGCCAAGTAAGTGTGAGACATATAGTGAGTAAAGTATAATAAACCTCACAGTGGAAATGAAAGTGTCAGCTTGCCATGCACACTCCCACAATTAGTTATTGGGCTGCTTATTAGAGCAGTGATTGCCTCCTGCAAACCTAATGGGCAGCCCAATGATCAGCTAGAGTTCACAAAGTGGACTAAAAATGCTGCTGCAAATTGTGAGGCAGCAGCTTAGCATTGTCAGCCTGCAAGAGGAAATGCTGCTACTGGCAGGATCCCCAGCTAGGAACCTTTGCAATACATTCAGTAAAAATATGCGCATAAAGCGGAGATCCACTGACCCTGTCAAAAAATAAAAGTCAGCAGCTTCAAAAACAGCCACTTACCTGTCCCTCGGTGTATCCATCGCAGCCCGTTTCACTGGCCGTCCTGTGTTCCAGGTGCCGGCATCTTCAGTGTGGACACCCGGCTGTGACAGCTTTACAGCCGAGTACCCACTACGCATGCGCGAGTAGCGCTGAGCTTCATGTATGGGACTGTAGTCTTCTGCGATCTGTCACATGTCCCAAAAGACTACAGGGAGGGAGGACACCTTCTGCTTCTGATCGCCTAGGTGATCGAACCGGAAGTGGGAGCGGGTACCTGTCAAATTCAGGTACCCGCTCCCACCCCCGCTGTCCAAAGGTGCCAATTCTTAATGGGGAGTGGGGGAGCAGTCCTTAAAGCAGAACTTCCCCTTTTGGGTGGAGCTCCGCTTTAAGACGGCTGTACAGTATTCAGTGAGGCTTGATGCCAGACATAGTGAAAAAAATATTGAGGTCTATCTACACTTGAAAGCAGCCAGCAGATAATTACAAGTTGCCATTTCTAACTTTATAACTTGAATGTGTGAAATATAGAGATATATATATTTATATATACATATACATACAGGCATACCTTGGCTTCCGAATTTAATTCGTTCTGCTGGACTTTTCGTATTGCGAAAATTTTTTAAACCGAAACACGGTTATTCATAGGAATACACTGAAAACCAATTAATCCATTCCAGAGGGGTCAGAAAAAAGTAAAGTCTTATCTGTTCAAAACTCTTTATAAAGTGCTTTTTAAAGGCATAGTACTGTACAGGGACATGACTAAAAAAAAATTGTAAATGCACACATACTCACATTCATACATACACATACTAGGGCTAATTTAGACAGGAACCAATTAACCTACCACCATGTCTTTGGAGTGTGGAAGGAAACCGGAGTACCTGGAGGAAACCCACACAGGCACAGGGAGAACATGCAAACTCCAGGCAGTTGGTGCCGTGGCTGGGATTCAAACCAATGACCCTAGTACTGCCAGGTAGAAGTGTTAACCATTTTGCCACTGTAATAACTGTTTGTATTTCTCTTTAGGGCTGGTTCACATCAGGGCGTTTTTGACGCATTCCGGGGTTTTGATGTGTTTTTGACTCATTCTAGTGTGTTTTTTTAAGCATTCCATTTCCCCCCCCTCTCTTTTTCTTCAATTTAAATAGGGACATGTGTGTTCCAATGGGTTTGGTGCATTTTGGTGCCTTCTGGTGCGTTTTTGATGCGTTTTACCGAGTTCCAGTACAGTTCTGTGCAGAAAAAATGCAGCCTGTTCTACTTTTTTTTTCTGCAACTGGAACTAACTGGAACGGCAATCACTGATATGAACTATGACATTGACAACCATAGAATCTACTTTATGTGCATTTTGGATGCAGAAAAAAAGCAACTTAAACACATGTAGTGTGAACTGGCCCCAAGGCAAATATGTATACTTTATTGAATATTATTATTTCATAACTACCATGTGCAGCCATCAAGTATCACGCCAAGGGTCTGCAAATGATTTTCTGTACTAATTTACTTTTACTGATGCAGCAAATATCCTGAGTAGATTAGATTAATGTTAGGTGCTGGGGGGTTGTACAGGGAGGGTGAGGTGGGGGGTTGGGGAGTACCTAAAGATGCTGCAACTCACACAGCTGCCTAATCAAAGGAGGGACACAGCCCCCTTCCTCCCTCTTCAAGTCCATAAAGACCCAGATTTTCTTTTTATTACAAAGATGCAGTCACAGAAGTGCTGGGCTTTCCTTGCTTTCAATAGAGGTTTTATTAATGATTTTCCAAGTAGTGCTAGGCTCTCTTATTAGAAAGCACAGCACGCCCTATGACCTAGATGACATGAAAACTTCCTGTTTTTTGCAAAATGTATTTTGAAATCATACAATAATAAACATGATGTAAAACATGGAAACATTTAGATTATACATAATTCATCCTTTTTTGACCTTTTGAGATACGAGGTGGTATCAAAAAGTTTTGAGACTAGATTTATAACATGCCAACAGATGGCAGCACAAGGCTTCACACACAGTCATAGGTCAGTGTGCCAAAATACATTGTCCTGTGTACATTGGGAGTTGTGCAACTGGTGCTATTCTGACCACGTCTGACCATGTCTGCTATTTCATCATGGACAGCAAGTTAGAACAAAGAGCAAATGTGAAATTCTGAGTGAAACTGGGCAAATGTGTCGTTTGTCAAGATTCAGCAAGTTTACGCCGATGCTGCAATAAGTCGTTCGAGGTGCTTTGAGTGGCACGCATGCTTCAAGAGAGGAAGAACATCACTGGAAGATGACGAGAGATAAGTAAGACCTTCAGCAAGCTCAACCCCCAAAAAATGCCCTCTTCCCAAATATGAAGATCCAACTCAAAGAACACTGTTTTGACAACATTGTGGAGATCCAGTGATTTGACTAGTTTCACACAGAATTTCACTCCTTGTTCTAATTTGCGCTCAATGAAATAGTAGATGTTGTAACGCACGTGGTCAGAATAGCACCAGTTGCACAGCTCCTGATGTACACAGGATGATGTCTTTTGGCACACTGACTTATGAAGGTCAGTGCGCCCACTGACTGTGCTGCCATCTGTTGGTGTGTTACAAAACTATTCTTGAAAGTTTTTGATACCACCTCGTAGATGAGTAAAAGGAAGAATTAAGTTAAAGCTCCACCCAAAAGGGGAAGTTCCGCTTTAAGGACTGTTCCCCCGCTCCCTATTAAGGATTGGCGCCTTTGGGGGCGGGGGGAGCAGGTACCTGAACTTGACAGGTACCCGCTCCCATTTCTGGGCAATTGGAAACGGAAGGTGTCCTCCCTCCCGCTCTCTCTTCCTGTAGTCTTTTGGGACACGTGACAGGTCCCAGAAGACTACAGGACCATTCATGAAGCGCAGAACTACTCATGCATGCGCAGTGGGTACCTGCCTGTGAAGCCGCAAGCTATCACAGCTGGGTGCCCACACTGAGGATGCCGGCCTCCTGGACCAAGGGACAGGTAAGTGGCTGTTTTTTAAAAGTCAGCAGCTACAGTTTTTGTAGCTGCTGACTTTTATTTTTTGACAGGTGAGTGGAACTCCATTTTAATAAAGGGCGCATAAGCTGTTCGTTCACAGTTAATAGGATTTTGCACTTTCCCTGAATGTACAATCCCTAGGAAGTTCAACAAGACATCACCAATGAAAGAGGACATTCTGTCATCTGCACCATACCAATAACGCATCAGGAAGTTAAAGCCTACTACAGGCGTAAAATATATAAGAAAAAAGTAGGCCAGAAGCAGAATTCTGAGATTTTTCAACTCAAGGTAGCACAAAATAATAATAAGAGAAATGCATTCAACACGTTTAATTAGTTATAAATCATGCCTTGTGTGGTTTTGTTTCTCAAAAGTGAACCAACATGAAGACTGCCAACAATGCTGAAACAAGTGATGGAAATCTAATCCACTAGATTTAAATATCATCTGTCTGTGTTTGCTATCAAGACCACATGCTTCTCATATTTTCACCTTACAGTTTCTTCCTGTTTTTCCATTATCCGTGATGACAGTGCACAGAGAAGGCCAAAGTGTATGCTGGCGAAAGATCTACAATCTATATGTTACAATATTGCCCTAGAGATAATCAATATCAGGGTCGTAGCATTCATCTTCTATCTGGTCACAACACAACCAGAACATATGCAATATCTATTCATACAAATCCTCCCTGGTTGATTTGCAAAGGAAGGAAATTTGCAAAACACTTACTAATATAACTTCTTTCCATAAATAAATGAAAGAGGATCCTTGGTTTCTGCTTTAGATATCAGGAAAATTGGAGAGATTTTGCATGGCCTTTTCTTCAACTTCAGACCACCAAAATAATGTCACATGTGCACAATACAGCTGTACTGCTGGTATACTGCTCCATCTATTTTAGTGGTAGTATAAATCTGAACTTTACGGTAAGATGGCAGCCATACACAGATCAAAATTCGGTCAGTTCAACAGGAATCGGCCAAACTTTGACCCGTGGGCAGGCTGGTTGTACAGAAGTCAATCTGCCGATCAACTTCTGTACAACGAGCCTGTTGGGTTTTTCCTGAACGATCAGTGCCACCAGCTATAGTGGAGATTTACTAAAACTGGAGCACTCCGAGTCTGGTGAGGCTTTGCATAGCAGCCAATCAGCTTCTAACGTCAGAAGCTTGTTCAGTTAAGCTTTGACAATATTTTGCACTCTCCAGTTTTAGTAAATCTCCTCCAGTGTGTTCTGAAGTTTCTCTTATAGGAGAGCATCAGTAGTCTCAGGGTTGGAGAACATCAGACAAGCAAAAGAGCTGGGCTCTCCTAAGTGTGAAATCCCTGCAGGAGGCTGAGGAACACTGTAGACCCCTTGGGCTGGCCACAGGGCTGGAAAATCCAGCTGTCTGCTCAGTGAGAAGGCACCAGGGGCCACTGCATCTATAGGTGCCGGTTTCATTGCAAAAACACCTCTATCCACCCCCTAGAACCGCCTCTTGTCACCACCGCTATACACCTCATAACACCGCCCCCTTTAGAGAACAGATCTAAAAGGTACATTAGATGCTGCTGTGGACACAAACTCATTATCTACACTAGTGTTGTGACCTGTAATCCAATCGGGGCTTTTTTTTTTGGCGTCCATATGGAGGCGTGAGGCCTTAGTCAGCGCTTCTCTTGCATCTTAACGGTTATTTTTGGCATCTGTTTTTATTTACTTTCTAAATGCAACCTACAACTTCCTATACTTGCTCAACATCTCCTTTTTTTACTTTGCATCTGAGCTGTTTGGTGTGATGAATCTGTCGAGGTGAACCTGCAGTTGTTAATTCATCTCCCTGATACTGCTAACATGGGTGTCAGTGTTGGATCTGAACACCATCTGCTCATTTGATCTCTTGATTGGAGATCAATGTGTCTGGTAAGAGGCTGATTTTTCTGTTGTGACAAGCACTTGTGGACACTTATACACTTTTTTTTGGAAGATTTTTCAGTACACAGCACTGTCACTGGATTTGGGACTTTTTTGTTTATTCACTTTATGAATTTGGACTTTTTATATCACTTTAGCGATATATTTCTTGTCATATTACTATTTTATGGATATTTAGTTATTGCATTTGATTGTTTAGTGTACAGCGCACTCACTTTATATATGTCATTAGTGCAGTGTCAGTGCTTTTTATTAGCACTGATCACTGTATTAGCATCATTGCGATGTCAGTGGCAGTTAGTCAGTTCCCCCCCAGTGTCAGAATGCCCACCACAGTCCAACTATAAGTCGCTGATTATTGCCATTACTAGTAAAGAAAAAAAAAAAATTTTCAGTATATACAGTATAGCGTCACTTGTAGATGCTATAACTAACCAATTCATTTACACGTATTGGGATTTTATTTAGCAAAGACATGTAGCAGAATACATTTTGGCCTACACTTATGAAAAAATTAGATTTTTTAAATTAGTTTACTGGATATGTTTTATAGCAAAAAGTAAAAAATATAGTTTTTTTTTTTAGTGCATAAAAAAAAAAAGCACAGGTGATCAAATACCACCAAAAGAAAGCTCTATTTGTGAGAAAAAAATGACATAAATTGTATTTATGTGTTGCATGACTGAGCAATTGTCAGTTAAAATAACACAGTGCTGTATCACAAAAATGGTCTGGGCAGCAAAGGGAGTAAATCCTCTGGAGGGCAAGTGGTTAATGGTCTGCATAATGGGGACATGTCTTATGTCTATATATTTTCTGCTACAAGGTTTCCCTCTATACCAAAGGATTGGTCTATAGAGAGTAATTGGCTGTTACATCCCTAATCGTGTGATGGCAGAGTTGTCTTTCTTTCTCATCTAAGAAAGTTTGGAGGCACGTGTTCATCAGTAACCTAGATCCATTAAATGAAAAGCTGAGACTGCAAAAACTGAAACAGCAGCATTAGCTGGTATGTCAGGTCATATATCTCTAATTCTGTTCCTTGTAGGATGCTTACACAGCAAAATATTGCAGCCAGAGGGTTCAGTCTTGAATTGCTACCTATCTGACTTCCATATATTAATGTACACTGATACATTAGTTTTGCTTCTTTTAATGCAAATTGGGGGGGGGGGGGTAATACTAAAACTATAGTGCACAGAATCTGGTGTAGCTGTGCATAGTAACCAATCAGTTTCTAACTTCAGCTTGTTCAATTAACCTTTGATTCTGTGAGCTTCAGTTTTAGTAAGTCCCCTTATAAAGTCCAACCGTTTTGTGATCATTAGAAAGACCAATAACACTTTAGGAGTCTTGTATAAAAGATATATTAATTTACAAGTATTAGTGTTAACCTGGGCTGCTGTTAGAAGCTACAGAGCCCCATGCAGCCAACCTGACAGGGTCCTTCCCAAAACAAACACAGTTTACTATGCTTTGGTTTATGAATGAACAGAGTGAGCGTTTGGTACCGAGATACTCATTGTGTTCATTCAGGAAAGGAATCCTGTTGTGTACTTGCAGCTGCCAGTGGGAAGGAGAGGAGGGAAGCCGGGAGCACTGCAGTTGTTGGGGCACACCCTGGGGTCCTGGGCAGCAGGAGGAAATGTATGGTGCACAGGGAGGGTGATGGGTGCAGCCAGGGGGGCAATTACTTGAACCAATCCCCTGTATGTCTCTCTCTCTGCCGCAGCTGAAAGCCAGCAGGAGGGAGATGAGAAGCTTTCAGCTGCTGCAGAGAGAGCCATTCATCAGTTCCAGTAATTGCCTCCTCCCCACCATGCCCATCACTCTCCCTGCCCACATCTGATTCACCCAGCTGCCTGGGCCCCCCTGCTGGTCTGGCCCCTGTACAGGAGGACTGGTGGTACCCCCTTATCCTCAGCCCTGGTGTTAACTCTATATTAGCTTGAGGGAGGCAGAAAATGAATTCCAGAACAGGAACCCGTTTTTATATTTTTCAGCAGTGTTAAATCTGTCCAGCCCTTTCCACAGCTATAAAAATCAAATATATGGATTATTAACTCTCTCTCTCTATCTATCTCTCTATAACGTTTACAAGCGTTTGGAGTCTGAAACACCGGTAAAATCTACTCCTGAACGCAATTTTGTCACATTCAAGAAAACGATTGTAAACTCAACTACCTGTAAACTAGTGTAAATGACTGTGTACATGGACAGATAGGAAAACATTAGGGAGAGTTCAGGGGCTGCTGAAAAAAAAATGCTCAACAGATCCTGAACACCAATTTAGCAGCTGCAGTGTACATGAGCCCTTACACTGAGTGAAATTGAGCCTAAACTCAGACACTGCCTTCCAGGGGACAGAAGAGATGAGGGTCCTGTCTTATCGCTTGGCTTCATTCCGCCTTTATTCTTTATTTCTGAGAGGACTACATGTGCTAGGGTGACAGTGGTGTACTGCCTGCATCTCTGTCCTCTTTCCATAATACTGCAGATGAACCTAAAGGAGAACTCCATGATAGACCTGATTTAACAACAGTCAGAGGCAGATTTCCTAATAATACACTATTTAACATGTGTACTCCATTCACTTACCCTTTAGGAGTGATTCTTCTGGCTCATGGATGTCATGTGAGTCACTAAATGTCCCTTATTTCAGGAAGCTGGATTGGCAGAATGACTGAAACTAGGAAGCCTGACTCACCATTATTTCGCTTAAATTGGTTGTAAACCTCAGATATGAAATATGAACAAAGTATATCCCTCTATAGTGTGTACTTGTCTCAATTAAAGTGTTACTAAATGCAGGGTCCTGAGTCACTATATCTGGTCTCCCACAGTAC